CCAGGCAAAATCGCAGAAGGGAATTGTAAAGCAGACTCCCTTGCTGCCCCCACCGAAAAGGCACACCTCCCAGACATCTTCCACCAGGCGAAGCTGAGTCATCAGCAATACCATCAGAATGTGCCAGGTCTGATCCACCAGTTCCAACTAACATGGAGTCAAGCCCGGGCCATTGTGGCTACCTGTCCCAGCTGCCAGCTCCAGCCCATGCCATTGCTGGCTGTTGCGGTTAACCCCTGAGGCCTTGGGAGCTGCGAAGTGTGGCAGACAGATGTAACACACATTCACAGTTTTGGTCGTCTCAAATCTGTACATGCAAGCATTGACACATATTCAGGTGTGGTTTATGCCTCTGCCCAAGCAGAAGAAAGGGCTGTGCATGCCAAACAACATCTAGTACAAGCCTTTTCAGTGCTTTTCCCTAGGGAAATCAAGACTGATAACGGCCCAGTGTATACATCCAAGGAATTCCTAGAGTTTGTCCGGCAGTGGGGAGTGGAACATAAAAACAGCATCCCCCATTCCCCCACAGGCCAAGGTGTGGTTGAGCGTGCCCACCAGACGCTCAAGCAAGTCCTGGCTAGACAGAGCAGTTCAACAGTGTGGATGTTGCCACAACAAAAGCTCTGCAAAGCCATGTTTACCATCAATTTTCTAAATTATTTATTTGAAAATATGAATCCTCTGGTAGTACATCACTTTAACAGCAGTGATCAGTTTAAGTTATCCCAGCATCCACCTGTCTTAATTAAGGACCCAGAAACTTGGGAGACCAAAGGCCCTTATGAACTGGTTACCTGGGGGTGTGGCTACACATGCGTATCCACCCCCACAAGCTCACGCTGGATACCGCAAAAGTGGGTAAAACCTTTTGTCCCCAAAAATCCAGCTCCAGCAGAAGGGGTTGAAAAGCAAAAGCACTTGCTTCAAAAAGAAGACGCTGCCAGAAAGAGAAGACATTCCTAAGATTGGGTACATTCCGGCATAAACAATGACTTTTAATGTGCTTTAAAATGTTTATTTTCCTTTTTAGAAAAAAACTACCTCCCCCCAACCTTGTGATAAGCCCCATCCAACTTATCATCCTGTTTGCGCTGAGCTGTCTGACAGCTGCATGGATTGTCCCACAGTCACGCCAAAACATCTGGGTGACCCTGGCAGAGACACTGCCTGTCCACTGCAGCAGCAAGAGACCCTATGTCTACCTGCCTGGTAGAGATTACGAGAATTACCAGGCAGGCCACACTCCAGAATTATGCAGCCACAGACTTCCTCCTGCTACTGCATGGATACAAATGCCAGGAATTTGAGGGACTTTGTTCCATGAGCCTGACCTCAAAAGCTCCCAACATACACGCAGCCCTCCAAGACATGAAAAGCTTGATTGGACAAGTGAAGCAAGAATCTGAGGATTGGTTCAGTGGACTGTTCAAAGTCTGGGGATTCATGGGGTGGTGGACTTCAATAGTTAAAAACAGTTTTGTCATTTTTTGGTGTTCTTTTCCTTATAGTGTTGGCATTTGGAATTCTATGTTGCTTAATTTTCAATGCAATTAACGGTCTAATTTCTACTACCTCAGGAGTCAACTACATGGAGTTGACAAAGCAAAAACAGTCTAACTTGCCCGCAAATCATAAGTGGTGGGCAAATCCATATTCTGAATCAGCATAAACCCGACTCCTTTCTTTTAACTTTATTAAACAAAAAAGGGGGAGATGTTGTATTACACTGATAGGGTTCTATGTTGCACTGTTATGTTTTTATATTGCACAGAGAAAATGGTTTCCCCTCTATCCCCCCGCCCCAGGGCTTGTGAAGTTGGTTCAGCTCTCTCTTAGCCCCTCCCCACCAGTGCAATCCCATCGGCTGTGACTCGGTTCATCCCCCTCCCCTTACCCTGGGTTTAAAATTCCCCTGCCACCTTCTCTCTCTCTCTCTCTCTCTCTCTCTCTCTTTCTGTTCCCTGGATGTGGTTCGAGAATAAAGTGCTAGACATTATCCCAGGAAAGGGTGCTTCCTTTGTTTTTTTACCTTTGTCTATGAGGATTGTCCATCCACCTCTGGTCCAGAGCTAGCCAGAGGGACTATAGAGAAAAGGGAACTACCTCACATCTCCTTTTCTGCTTTTGCTTTTTTAAAAATTTTCCTTTAAAAAGCAGTGAGATAGATCAAACCAAACACGTGAAACACAGAAAATTGAAAGAAAAATCCCTATATTGTTAGATTAGCAATTAAAGAGTTATAATCAGAAGTGCATGCCTGAACAAATCTCTTCTTTTCCTGTAGTACTAGATCTTATTGAACAAATGGAACACTTAAGCAATGACAATAACCCAGTACTGTAGTAAATGTAAGATACAGACAAACGCATAAAAGCTATGGTGTTTAACGTGCAAATGTTAAACCTTTACAGTTGCCCTTAAAACTAAATGGGAGAGAAAACTTACTGAGGTTTTCTCTGAAAAATAATGCCTTTGTTCAATGGCATAATAACTGATGAACAATAGCTATGTAGAACATCAAGAATACTTTGTGCTTTTACTGAGAATTACAAATCTGATTTAAGAGCATTCCCAAATAAGGGAATGAGCTAATACATTAGCTTTAATGATGCTTTTCTCTACTAATGGACAGTGTGGGGTATGGTTCTGTCAGCAGAAACAAATCTTAAAACAAACACCTTTATATCAGCCTCTGCTATTTTTTAGTCCACTCACCTTCTATGCAAGAAAAATTCACATGCCTCCCCCTTTTTATTTCAATGGAGTAGTTATACTAAAGTGTAGCCAAGTACATCTATGAAGTGTTTATATATGTATAGACATATATACATGAAGTAGGTATAGTCAGGAACTAAAAAGAACAGATACACTCTTCCCTTGGTGTAATGCGATTTAATGTATATGAAATAATTGCAGTAACACTTTTTAATTTAAAATATTATTCCCACCTTTCAATGATTAAACATTAAGTACTGATCCTTTTATGAAACCAGAATTAAGTATTAACTGCCAAAAGCAGAAAATGAACTTGATGTTAGTCATTCAAGATATATAATATTGTTAATTCAAGATATAAAATGTTGTTGTTGTTGTTGTTCTTCTTCTAATAGCAGCATATAGATTTAAAGCACTTTATCCAGTCTCCTCTTTGTCCTCCTCAGTTACCTCTTTTTAATGTACTTTGTAATCTCACAGCTATTCAAATAACCATTGTTTTACATATTGGTTTTGGGGAATCTAGCCTACTCTTGGAGGAACATTTGAATAGACTTCAGTGTCATGTTTCACTACACAGGATTTGAATGTTTTCACATAGATTGGTGGGGGATTTTTTTTTTTGTTGTTGTTGTTGTTTTGGTTTTTCTCTTTTTTTTTGTTGTTTGTTTTGTTTTTGTTTTTGTTTTTTTTAATAGGTACTTGCACTCAAAGAAGTCAGTTTTTTTAAACGAAAAACTACAATATGGTAGTTCAGATGCAGCATTTGTACAATTTTTCTTCCAGGCAGTATTTAGGATTATTTCAATCTCTGCTCTTACAAGCATCTCTTCTTTATGTCTATGTAAATGCCAGCCAATATGACATGGGGAGAAATATTCATGACATACTACCAAGTAGTTTGCATTCTCTGAATGAGACACACTGATCTTCACTGAAAAAAAAAAAACCAAAACAAAAAAGAATAATTATACTTTCAGAAGCCATTAGCAATTGTGCAACACATCCTCTCTAACTGTGAGTCAAATTGCATTTGGTTTTCACTACAGAGAGCCTATAGTGGATCAGATCCTATTTGAAAACAAAGTTGTGAAAACAGCTTATATCAGGGTGAGACTATAATGCCATTTTTATATATATTGAGTGGAAATCTGAAAAAGTTTAAATGTCTCATAAAATACATAGAGGCTTTGGCATTTGGGTTTGCTCTGCGTTACCTTCTCAAAATACCTGAAAAAGAAAATTCAAGGGACTGAATGAACTTCTTAAATTATGACAACATATTGTACTTACTATGTAACATGAAAATCAGGGCAGAACTAAACTATTTCAAACTAACACAAACATTTGTTTCCCAAAGCAATCAAAATAAGGGTGAATTGATATTCCTTGTTTGTTCCAGAGCTTGAAGCATCAGATGATGCTCCCACAAGCTGTTAAAATGGTTCAGTATTGACTACTTTGCATTACTCTGATGTTCCATTGAAATGACTCTTCTGAACTGAGTGTGTACAGGAACACTGTTAGCAGGCTTTGTTCCTTACCTTACCTAAATAGGTTTTAAGGAATTACACATCCCATCTGGATTACTTAGGTTTCTTTCACCCTTCCTCCTCCATTTCTACAAGCAGAGGGAATCAGTTCTCGAAAAATGAAATTACTTAGAATAGGTAAAAAATATTGATTCTCGCCCTCTGCTCTGTTCTGGTGAGACCCTGCTCTACAGCACTGTTTTCAGGTCTAGGGTCCATATTATACGGAGGATGTGGATCTGTTGGATCAAGTCCAGAGGAGACCACAATGAGGATCAGAGGGCTGGAGCTTCTCTGCGGGAGAAGAGAAGGCTCTGGGGAAACCTTAGAGCCCCTTCCAGCATCTGTAGGGGCTCCAAGAGCTGGAGAGGAACTATTGGCAGAGGCATTGTCTAGGTTTGAAACACAGGTGTCTGTTAGGGAAAGCAGGGCGCTGCCTTGAAATGGAGAAAGTAAACCCCTCCCTCTGAATTAGTTTAATTTTGAAATTAAGGGGCTCTCAGGCAAAGATATGGGGACAGGAATAACAGTTCTTTACTAGTATGTATAACAAGGCAAACAAAAGAACAACAACTATGGAATTAGTAACGAAGAGAACAGGAACCCTTTTGGCCACGGGCACTTTCCCTTTGGTGCAGTTCCCGTCATAGCCGGCAGGGGGCGCTGTGGCGGGAGCTCGGGGAGCACGCGGTAGTGGCGGCTGGGCCCAGATAGGAAGGGATGGAAAAGAGAGGCTTTGCTTCACGAACCATGGGGCAGTTTCGGTCCCAGTGCTCCAGCAGGATGCTCGGAAACAGCAAGCTGAAATGGCAGGGCGTCCTAGCAGGGCAGGGGTGTGGGATCCAGCAGCAGCAGAACAAAGTAGCTCCTGGCTGGGCTATGACGATGGTAGCAGTGACCCGCCTCCTCCGTAGCCAAGAGTGAGTGAGAGAGAGCAACTCCCCTGCTCTCCTTTCACCTGCTTCTAAATCTCACGGTGTCCCCCTCCCTCTGAGAGAAATTCCCAAAAAATAGAGAGGTTGTCTCTCCCCCCGCCCCAAGGACTTAGCCAACAGTACTTCTTAGCATGTCAATTGAAAAAAATTCCACATGCAAAGAGATAAAGGAAAAAAAATCCAACAGGCATAGAGTGACAGAACAAGGTGGAATGGCTTTAAATTGTCAGAGAGCAGGGTTAGATTAAACATTAGGAAAATATTCTTTGGTGCAAGGGTGGTGAAGCCCTGGCATATGTTGCCCAGGGAAGCTGTGGTTGCCTCATCCCTGATAGTATTCAAGGCTAGGTTGTACAGGCCTTGGAGCAACTTGGGATAGTGGAAGACGTCTTTGACCACGGGAGACGGGTGGAATTAGATGATCTTTGAGTTCCCTTTTAACCCAAACCATTTTGTGGCTCTATTATTATATCTATTGCTGAGTTAACTTTCCACATTCTTAACAATTTTCAGTATTTCTATTAGCCTTTTCTTTTATACTGTTAATTTTTAAAAACAAAGCAGAGAGCTGCAGTTAACAATCAGTGATTTTCTGGATTTGGACAACAGTCTGCAATATTAAATCTTCATAACACTAAAAACTCGGGAGAATGTCAGTACTTCTCCACAGAAGTACTAGAAGTTAGAACGTCTGTCTTCCCACAATACCATTTGTATTGTTTAGTTATTTTGATTGGTTTTAAATATTCGAGGTACATTCCTTTCTGTTAATCTTTCTGTGTACTTTAAAACATGCTGTGGAACCACCCATCTCAGAGTATACCTCCATTAGCAGAGTACAGACTATGTGCCATATTGGATACACTTGATTATAGATGAGCTGTTCTTCATTTAAAATAAGGACAGAGAAAGATGACATAGGTCTCTTAGTGCTATCGTTGAATTAACAAATAATTACAGCATGGCATTAAGAGGAGTTTTCCTTTTGAGGCTTGTTTAATTCATTATTATACATGATTCTTAATATCGAAAGGTATTTTGCTAATCTGTGCAACAAAATAGCAACGGAAAAATATAACTCTTAATGAAGGCTGAGGAAGACATGACAAAAAATACAACTGAAGGTACAAAAAATACAAGCAAAAGTACAGAACTAAAACTAACAGAAAAATGTTTCTCATCTCCCTTCTTCCTGCTCCACTGGAGGAAAGTATTATAATGCATTTCATGACACAGCTAAGCAACCCTCCTTCCAGGTGTGGACCTGTCTTGCCCCTTGGATACGAATTGCTATCACCCTGGAAGGTATTTAAGAAAGCAACATGGAGATAGGCTATTCCTACTGCTTTAACAGGGCAATTTTTACATCTGAAACATAATATCTTGTACCCTGTGGCTGGATTAAAGTCTATATTAACAGGATTGTTGTTTTTCAATGAGTCTTAACAATTTAAGATCTTAAGCAATTGGTAATGTGCAAAACTCTTGACACTGATAATAAAGTTTTCATATTGCTGGTTATGGAATTGTTGGTACAGTACTCTCACTATAGCATTGCAGAACAATTCATCTGAGACCTTGCTTCTCCACTGACATGGTGCTACTCTCAAATATACCATATTTTCTGTACCTGAATAGTAGGGCTTGCTTTAATTTCTTCCTAGAGTCTGATATGATCCATGCTCTTAAGGTAGGTGATGAGACATGGTAAAGTTCTAACAAAAATACTGTATATTCTTGCATCCAAACTGAGGGATAGAAAAAGGCAGAATATGGCCAGACACTGGTATTCATACAAGGAGGTAATGTCAGGCATTCTTGTTGTCCAGGTACTCTATTCCCTGGGAAACAGAGGTGATGACAATAGGCGGATAGAGTGGTTGGAAGGGTGAGAAAGCAAATGAGGAAGGAAAATCCAGACAGACACATGTGTAACTAACTGAACAAATTTATGTCGATGCAAACTTTTATTCCCACAAGAATACATTATCCAGAGGAAATCTGAGTTACAGATATGTGAGTTCAGTTGTAGACTGGAACAGTATCTTGTGCGCTGCTGTAGATCACATACACAAGCCCATAACTTTTTCAATTATTATCTGCTTTAATTGAGGCATGGAATAGCCAGGCTTTCAAAGGCAAGACCAATTAAGAGTAGCAAGTTACCATAAGAGGTAATCTGTCAGTCCCCCACTCCCCTGATACACAAAACCTCGGAAGTGCCAATATTAAGAAGCATCCTTTCTGAGTGAGAAGGGACACTGTCTTCTCTTGTGCAGATGTAACATGAGCTAATCTGCTGCTAGAGAGAGATCTCTCCCTACAGTGAAAACCAGATTAAAAAGATGGAGCAGTAAGCTCAAATACCTACACTGTGAAGACCAGTGAAGACCATTGCCAGCTCTAAATCCATTAGAAAGAGACTGTAACCTTGTCTGAAATCTACCAATCTTTGTTCCTCTGGGAATTGGTGACCACCATATGGCATAAATTTAAGCAGAAGCCAGAATCCTTTACTTCCATCATGGTGCCCCTATGCTCGCCTGCTGCGAGCACTAGATGTGCCTATTCCTTGTGTATGCCAAGGCAGCTCCTTGTTCATTTTTACCATGTACACTGCAATTTCTCATTAGTTAGAAGGCTACTAGTATTTAGCCTTCTCTAATTTCTATTCACTGTGCTAAACCCTGCTACTGTTATAAGCACATATACTGCTGTTTACACAGTACAATTTCAAAAATACAGCCAAAGCCTCGTGTATTTGTATTATCTACTCTGTGATTGATATAGCTCTCCAAACGCATCTTTCACTGTTTTACAGAAATAAAGTTAGAAAAATCAATATGTCGTTGCTCATTATGAGGAAATGGATATCCCTGCAAATTGTGCAATATCAGTGAAAGTTGTAAAGCTATTCACAAGTGCTGAAAAAGCAACAAATGAACAACTATATACCAGCACATCTTGAAAAATCTTAGATTAAATTTAAAGTGTTAATGAGTTATCATGTAAATTCAAATGAAACTAGTATTATTTGTACCTAACAGCTGTTGCAATAATTGACACTATGTATAAGATGCCATACATTAGATGCAATGTTTGAACCTTCCCTTTTTCCTAATCATCATGAATGTCATGTTGAAGCATATATATATGACTTCTATACCTTTCAAAGCAATTGGGCTCAGCATTATCACCATTAAATCTTTAGGTACCTCTAATTTAAATAGAATAGTGAAATGACAGCTAGTTTAATTGTTTAATACCTTTCAGAATTCAATCTAGAGTAAGCTAAAATTGAATGATCACTGTGTGAATATGTTTAGGTTATTCTAGAATGAGTTACATCACTCCTTAAAACTACAGACTACATATGTTCCTACTCATAGTTTCATGCCCTGGAACTGATTTCAAAGTCAAAAACAGAAATACAACTAGCTTAAACAAATTGCTTCATACAAGTAAATTCTAACACAAGTAATAAACATAATAGTAACCAAAAGAGTGATTAGTAGACTATGTGAGAAGTAAATGTTCAGATCAACACATTATAAGGTCAAGAAGTTTAGGAGTCTGGGCAGTTACATGATATAAACCACAGCATTTTACCTATTAAATCTTGCAGTTAGATTGATTTAGTGTCTTAAGTCATAGAATCCCATAACAAAAATAGCTAAGAATCAGAGTTAGCATATTGGATTTTAACAATCAATTTCTTCTTCTAATTAAGAAACATATCTTAATGGAAAAATTCATCCCATAATGGAAGACATATAGAAATTAAACCATAGGTAGAACAATAGGACACCTAAACTATCCCAGTGTAACTTATGAAGGAACTTGTTCAATGTGAGTATATACGTACAAAAATAGGAATCTTCATGCACAGAATGTGTAAATATGATCTTAGACATAGTTACTAATTTTGTAGATACATTTTATATGTCTCACATGCAAATACTAGTTTCTGTACAGTCAATAAGTGTATACAGAAGATTTGATGGCACCACGTAAGCAGATACTTTAAAACTTAATTAGCTTCATACGGATCTGATCTCCAGGAAATTAGATGTGGCCACATCTTAGATAAAGAAACATCTGTTACATAAATCAGCGTTTTCTCTCCTTACTTTTCAGTTTTTAATGACACAATCCATGAAGATGTTAACTTAAAAATGCAGGTCAAAAAGAGTATGTTTTTTCTTGGTAACTTACATGGAAATTTTTTTCTCCCTGAAACTTACATGAAAATTCTAAATTCAAAGTAACTTCCACTATTATTATTTCATAAGCTTTATTATATAAACATTCCTCGAAAAGACCAACCTATAGCTTACGGATGTTTTATATTAAGCCATTGGAACTAATAACCACAAACTGAGAAATTATTTTATTGAAACGAGTGAGAATGATGCATTCCTCAACAGTGTTATTAACTGTTTATTTAAAAATTTCAGAGTACACAGCACAAAAAATTACCCAAATTTGAAATAAAAGAGACTCCTCCATACAACAGCTGGGTTTATCCTGCGCAGGTTACATCACCGGTCTCAGAGGAAGTTCTGTAGGTATTAACAGTGTAGTTATATTTTCCTGTTTGTTCATTCTTATCATGATTTTTTCCTTTCCCTGGCTGCTGCAGAAGCACCTATGCAAACATCCAAAGGATACCTAAGCCGCTGCAAAAATACGAAGATGTTTTTCAACATGTAACTGTTGTCCATCAACAGCCAGAGATATACTGCAGAAATCTAAGCTCCATCATTACTGAGAACCATTACAGAAGTTATATGTAATTAACTAAGCACGGAAATTATTACAAGCAATTCTTTTCATGTTTAAAATTGAAAAATAAAAGGCTGTCCTTTGCAACTCAGTTTTTAATTTCTTCTTATGGAAAAAACTCAGTAACTAACAAATCTGCTTACAAAGATGAGGATAATTTTAGTGTTGCTTAAAATGTAGAATAATTGTTCAGTGTATCTATACATGGAGTCAGTATATACAGGCTCATGGGAGAATCCAAACATGCTTTTTATGAAGGCATAAATTATAAATATAGGTAAGTATAAATAGTAAGGTCTCTTTTGCATTTAAACACAGACAATAATATGGAATTTTAATAAAAGGATCACAGCCATTAAGAAAGACTGATAGAGCAATCATGTAGCACTTTTTTGTATGCTACTAAAGTTAAAGGGGTGTTGGGTTGACCAGGTGTCATGGTTTAAAAGCCCAGCCAGCAACCAAACCCCAGACAGCCGCTTGCTTACTGCCGCACCAGTAGGACTAGGGAGAGGACTGGAATGGTAAAAGCAGAAAACTCATGGGCTGAGATACAGACTGTTCAACAGGGAAAGCAAAAACCATGTACTCAAGTAAAACAAGGAATCAATCCACTGCTTCCCAAGGGAATGCAGTTGTTCAGCCATCATCAGGAGAGAGGGCTCCATCACATGTAATAGTGGCTTGCAAAAAACCATGCCATCATTCTGAATGTTCTCCCTCCTCCTCCTTCTTATCTCTACTTTATCTACTGAGCATGATGTCACATGGTCTGGAATACCCCTTTACTCAGTCACCTGTCCTGGTTGTGTCTCCTCCCAGCAACCATGCACCCACAACTTCCTTGACAGCATGGCAAGTGCATGAAAAGCAGAAAAGCAATATATGTATCATGTCAGCTATGCAGGTAGGAAGAAAGAGCACTCTCGGTAACAGTTCATTTTATACCTGTGGGAGTACAAGGAAAAGAACTGGTGTAGATGGAACATTCCAGGATCTTATTGCAGGAAAGCTGCTTTCAGTCCTATGACAGAAAGACTGAAAATTCCTCTACTGCTATTAATTTCTGAAATAGGATAACACTTCGGAAAAGTGGAAATAAACTGTGTTCAGGCAGAAGAGAGGAGCAGGAAACATGGAAGGATTTTGTGGTATTTGCATCTACTACCCAAGCAACACCTTCTCTTTTAATAACTGAAATACTCTGTCACATGTTATGTGGCTTTTCACCCTAATAATTAGGGTGTTTAACAGACTTCAAATGTTGTAGAAAACCCTACTTGATTCTCTAACATATCTGTGAAATAGCTTCCTACTTTACTGATGGAGAAGAAATAACCTTGCTCAAATTACTTGTCTAATGACATACAAATCAATGACAAACCCAGCCTGAATACCTGAGCTCCTAATCAGGCCTGGAACATCTCCCCCCATCACTGTTCTCACAATATGTACTATTATATTAGCTCAAACTAGGGAACAGGCAAATGCACTTTTCAAGCAATCTAGCCTGACACTATTCTGACATAGCAGGGATGAAGGGCTGACTATCCTAGTGTCATTTATACCAGGAAATTTCAGAAAAAGATGTATTTGCAGAAGCTCAAGAAGTATTAAAAAAAAATCATTACACTGCCCCTTCATCCAAACACATTCATTTAAAAAACCAGTCCCATGAAGGCTTGTAGCTGTAGTTATGAGTAGTCCTGAGAGAAGCAGGGAGTTGGACTCAACGATCCTTACAGATCACTTCTAGTCCAAGATATTTCAGGATTCTAAAGATGAAGTAGAGTTCCAAGGGCTAAGAAATGACATAAGGTGATGTGTAGAATCTCCAGCGCCAAGTGACTTGGGATGGCAACTTTGCCTGCAAAGTGAACACAAAAGATGTATTGTTTGCAGAGAGGTAACAGTTCAGCTGATATTACTAGGAACTCTTTCTTTGCACAATCCTTTTCCAATTTAAAACTGTTCTCACCAAAATAAGCCTCCTGAAAGAATGTTGTAGACACATTACCCCCTCCTGAGTGAAATTCTTAGCACAGCTGTTCTTCTAGTCCCCATGTCCCCACACACATGCTGCTGCCCTGGAAGGCACTTAGAAAAGCTTGACTCATAAAGGGAATATTTTAAATATTTATACTGTGTTTCTATATTTAGTCTTATTGCTACTACTACAGTGACAAGGCTGTGTTAAAATTATTTTGTTTAGAAATCTGTGAGGGAAAACAAGAAGCAGTAAAGGGAAACCCATAGAGAGAGGAGCCTACAATATTTTTTGAAGTTACAATTTCTTAAAGCAGAAAAACAGCAGTAAATGGATGTATTACAATGGAATAAACTGAGGGCTAGAGCCAGCTTCTCTGTTCACTGTGACCCTGGGCACAAAACCAGCGTATTTCCACATATCTTAGTAGTGTAAGTTGAAAGCAGAGTTTGCTCTCAGAAGGAAAGATATTAAACAATTTCAGTAGATAAAAAGAGCTTGGGAGCTGTGAAAGTGGGAGCAGTAGTTTGTTTTAGTGGCCTCAGGAAAAATTCACTTAATACTTTTGGGTAATGCAAAGCTTTGAAAACCTGAATGTTTAGATGCCTTCTGAGAATTGTAGAGAAACATGCAAGTGTAAACATGCTATTTGTCATCTCTTTTAACACTGGGGGCAAAAAAAATTCCAAAGATATCTACATACTGTACTGCCTGGTAATGGCAATCACATGATGTCTTCTTGATCCCAGAGGTACTTAGGTGTGAAGTCAATCTGATGTACCAAGTGAAACCACTTAAGGGAAAAAATAAATGGTTGATGATGAAGGTAGGTAGAATGTGGGGTTGAGAGCTTGCAAGCTTGAGTAACATGAAAAAAATAGTTTCAGGGATATACAGAGTAAAGTAGCAAGAGAGTCAGATTTCTTACAAGGTAAACTACCAACAGGATGTAGTTGTTAAATTTATTGTTAGAAAAGAATCATAATCCTTAAGGTTGGAAAATAACACCAAGATCATCGAGTCCAACCATCAGCCTAACACTGACAGATCTACCACAAAACCATGTCTTCATGCACCACATCCATAAAGTTTTTGAACACTTTCACGGATGGCAAGTCCACTGTTGCTCCAGGAGCCTGTTCCAGTGCTTGACCGCCCTTTCAGTGAAATATTTTTTCCTAATATCCAGTCTAATCCTCCCCTGACAAAACCGTTTCCACCTGTTCGATCAATACTCGAAGGGAGGGTACGGTGAAGTGGGGACTGATCTCTTCTACTGTCCCTGCAGTAGCAGGACCAGGGGAAATGGCCTCAAAGCGAGACAAAGGGGAGATTCAGATTACACAGAATCATACAGAATAAGCTGATCTGGAAGACATCCAATGGCATTTCTTCACTGTTAGGGTGGTCAGGCATCGGAACAGGTTGCCTAGGGAGGTAATGGAGTCATCATTCCTGGAGGCGCTGGATCATACGGGTTCAGAGTTAGAGTGCTCATCTTGGATCGAACCAGTGGATCCTACCCTAGTCCCGCGCGCTCACAGCTCCTCGGCCACGGAAGAAGCCCTTTGTTTCTCCGACCCGCACATCCTCTCTCACCCGCGCTCGCCGTCCCACACGGCCTGGCTGGGGCTGCGCCGCCCGCGCAGGCGCAGAGATGCCGCGCAAGCGCGGAGCTCCCCGGGCAGGCGGGCGGCGCTTCCCTGTGGCGGCTGCGGCCCGAGACAGCCGCGCGGGGATCTGCGGAGCGGCCCAGCCCCCGCCCAGCCGGGCATTGTTCCCGGCCCGTCTCCGCCGGGAAGTTTCGGCCGCGTCCCGGCTCAGCTGCCTGCCAGGGCGGGGGGGGGGGGGGGGGGGGGGGGGGGGGGGGGGGGGGGCGGGGGGGACAGGGTCGGGGCAGGGGGCCCAGAGCCCCTTTGTCGCCTCCTCTCTGGCGTGAGACGGCCGGCGAAGCTCAATATGATGGCGGCCGAGGCCACGGGTGAGGAGAGCGGCTCGGGCTCTGTGGCCGGAACGGCGGGAGCCGCCGCCGCCGGGGACCTGGGGCACTGCCCCGCCTTGTGCCGGGGCCGGGCGCCAGAGCCGCAAGGCCCCTTCCTGGTCGGCGGCGGCCCCCCAGGCGGGCCGGCTTTGTGCTCGGTTCTGGGGCTGCTGGAGCTGGGCGCGGGGCCAGCCCCTCCGGCATCCGCTGTGTCTGCCGATCCCAGCTTCCCCTCGCTGCCGCCGCCCCCGTTAACCGGGGGGCTAGGGACCGTGGACGAGGGAGATTCGCTGGACGGGCCGGAGTACGAGGAAGAGGAGGTGGCCATTCCGCTTAACGCGCCCCCCACCAATCAGTGAGTACCCACCATTCCCGCCTCAATCCTTGGGAGTGGGTACCGCGCCGCCGGGCCTCCACCGCTAGCCGGGGAAAGTGTGCGTCAAACTCCGCTGGAAGTCTCGCAGAAGTTCTGCGTCCTACCTCTTCACCTTTTCTCCCTCCTCCGGTTCCGTTGCAGCAGGAAGTTTTTTTCACCGGGATACTGCCCGGGGTCTGCGGAAGGCAGCCCACCCGCGACTTGGGAGGGTCGGCAGCGGTAGCAGGGAGGTTGGGCTCCTTCCCCGTTCACCGGGGACTGGTACTTCGGTACTGAGTGGGATCAGCTCATGGGAAAAAGGCGGTTGAGTTAGTTTTTTGCAAGTTTTCGTAGCAATACTGCAGGCTGCCAGGAAGAATGAGCTATTCTGGTTGTGGTTTAAACTACCTGTTGGGAAGACTTCTCTAGTCACTGGTAGCCCCTTCTCAGTATAGCCATAAACTTAATTTCTGTAAATAGATATGAAAACTCTATCCATGGTATAAAATACTTTATTTACCGTGTCATCATTTTGTATTGCATTGCTTTCTGCTGAAAAAAAAAAGATTATTATCTTTTCCATTTGATATAGAAACATAGCCAAAGTAATGCCTACATATTGGATCTTTAAAAATTCAGGCAGTCTTGAATAATGGATTTAAAATAAATTAAAAAAATTTCTAATTTTAAAAGTGTTAACAGAGGGATGTTTTTATAAATGTTTTAACTGCCTTGCTGCTCAGCCAATTTAAAGTTGTTTGCATTTAGGTTATGCTTGGAGAGAGGAGACGTTTGGAATAAACTGTAAACTTATCATTAGGTTTTATTGTATTTATCTGTCCATCAGATTAATTTGGATTCCTGCAGTGCTGGTAATAGAAGGAATCTTGTGCTAGAGGCAGTTTATGTTGGGTGAAATATAAGATTAAATAATGTTATATAGAGTCCATGTAATTAGTAAGTACTCCAAACGCAACCTTTGGATTTCACTATAGAAATCTGCAGATTGACACAAAGCACTTCACTTTCTTATATTTATGAAAACAAACCTTTTTTTCCATATCTGTATCATATTCTACCCAAACTTAAATTGTTTCAGAGGCTTACATTTTTTAATTAGTAACATTTATATAATTATGTTGTTCCTGAAGTTCTCACAAATATAGTGGATAATTTAGGGGGTAACATAGAGTAGTGTTTAAAGATATAGATAGATAGATAGATAGATAGATAGATAGATAGATAGATCATAAAGTTAACTTAAAAATCTGTGTGAATTTTGTATTCTTTCTTTATATTCTCTCATAAGTTGACTGATAGAGTTAACTTCTGCATTATGTTACATACCTTAGGGATTTCAGAAGCCATTGTAATTTTAAATAGGACGTAAAATGGTAATATTATAGGATTTCTTTTAAAATTAGTCTCTCTAACCTTGACAGACTTCATAGCAGCCCTTTATCTTTTTAGTTTCTGAACTTTGTGTGAAAGTGTGTAAACATTAAAGCCTTGTTTTCTGAAGACAGTGTTTGAGTAGTCTTAAACTTGTAGAAGTCCCTAATGAGCTAGAAATAGGATTAGGCAGTTTAGAAAGAAATCTGGGAAATGGAAGCACGTAAAAAGCAAAGCTACTTCTTCAGGATTGTGTGCTAAGCATGTGAGGAGCACAATTTTGCTTTTCTGGTTTGTCTCTCTGAAAGGTTCAGAGTGCTTCCATCACACCTGACTAACTTCCTCAGAGGACTAAGGAAAAAGCCAAAAATCAAGCTTTTTACGATATTTTGGAAAGCAGAGTAATCATTCATGAGTAATCATTCATGAGTAAATTTGATACTAAATTAATTGTTGCATCTACAATTCTGAGTGAATTTTTCATTAAAAGCGTTGTCTTGTGCAATATTGTAATTACGTGCAAACATCATGGTTAACTTTCAGAAAGGAATGTTAAGGTTTTTGGAAAGGAGTACAGGGTAGGGGAAGACTTCGGTCCTGGTTTTGTTTTGGCTGAGAAGACTACTTACCTTACACAGGACCAGGGCATAGCTCCGTAGTTAAATGTTCTTCTGTTGAAGAATGTAATACTGAAGCAGACAAGAAGTAAAACAAATTTAAAATTTGATTCAGAACTTTGTACTTCCAGATACTTAAGCTTTTTCTTTTTAATTTTTATCCTTGGTATGTGACTTTTCCATAACTAATACAAAGAGATGGGAAATGAAGCACATGCAGGTTCTGCACTTCCCATCAGGATGTTATAGTTTGTTCAGGGAGGTCTGGGGGATATGTCTTTTTCTAGTGTGTATTCTTTTATATTCAGGTAGTGGGAGGATACTATTATATAAGACCTCTTTATTCACAAACTGAAAATCCCTCAGTAGGGTTGATTTTTTAAAATCTTTGATCTGGAGTGAAACTAACTTGAGGCGTCTCTATTCATTATGTGTGGGAGTTTTCATTTCTATGGAGCACAGCAACGGTGTGTTTATGTTGCAGCTTAATGTTAGGTGGGAGGCACAGGATACTACGGAATAAAGTGGGCAACTCTGTTTGTTTAGGTCATTTTTTTCCCTTGCTTTCTGCCCCATTTACAGAGCTCAGTGACAGAGGCTCAGATAATGTTAGGAAATGCCTTTGCATTTAATGAATGAATGCTGATTCTGTTATATATTTGATTTAAAATCTTAGTTAACAAAATTGTTTTATATCCTAGTGCTGCTTTAATGTGACAGGAGCCATTCCAGTATTATTATTATTTGCCAGCAAAACTGGCATTTTCATATGTTTTTTTTTGAGCAGTACTTATCGGTTTGAAATGGAAATCAGTTGAAATCTGAAAGTGATCAACCACACAAAATGAAATGGGCTGTCAAAATACTGTCTGGTTAAAACAAATCTTGCCCAAAGCAGATATATTCTTACAGTCAGTCTGGGTGTTTGTTCAGGCAACATAATAACAAGAAAAAGCACTGAAGATGAAGACAGAGAAATATTAAATAAGAATGGATTGCAATAAAGTAGAACATTTTTCTGCCTTGTCATTGAAGTTCTAGTATCTTCACATAAGTGTTCAAGATGGCAAGCTGAGAGTTCTGCATTTGTTGCAGTAACTCACGAAAAACTTTTTTTCTGAATAATTGCAGAAGGCAGTTTTCCAGACTAATGAATGAATCTGTTGCTCTGTAAACTGTGAGGAAGTAATGTTGGCGTGTTCAGTTAGGTACTGTATAAGAAAAATGAAATGTGATGTCAGTAGATTGTACTGTACGAGATTTCTTTGTTTAGCAGTTAATGTAGTTAGCATTGAATATTTTCTTTTTTAGGTAATGAATTTTTTCATCAGTCCCTGTTATGTGTGGAAGACAACACCTTATTTTTCTGAAGTTAGTGGGTAGCATACTCTGGGCCACTTCTGGCTCTTTGTGTGGTGTTAGAAGTACTGTCTTAAATGAGTGGTTAAACACAGTGTAACAACATTGTACCTAACCTGCTACTGGAAGTTTAACAGTAAGTAAACTGAGTGTGCTAGTTCATAGGTAAATGAAAACTTCAGTTAAATAAAATCAGGATAGCATTTGAAGACAGAAGTTTGAGGATGATTTTTCAGTAGTGCATTGGTTTGAAAGCAAAACCAGTGAGAGACTCCAAGTCAGTAATACAACTTAATAGGAAAAAAAGAGAAAAAATAAAATACGTGCAATAATACAAAAGAAAAACCACCGACAGAGTCAGAATACAACCTGACACCCTGTCAGTCAGGGTGTTAGTAGCAGTCCGCATAAATGGTGGTTCAGTTGAAGCAGTGCTCCTCTAGAAGGGTGCAGTTTTCCTCCGAAGGTCTAGTGATGATGTGGAAAAGGTCCGACTTTCCTCTGGGATCCAGTAGAAAGGGCTGCTTTTGCGTCCCAAACCCCAGTTTTTTATCTAGGTAGGAAAGGCTTGGCTCCTGCCCCTGGCTGAAGCATCTCCCAATGGGATGATGTAATCTTATCAGTCACACAATAGGACTTAATGGCCCATTAACAGAATATATCTTCTGGAGGAAAGATGGGTTGTGAAAAGATAGCAATGATCATCCCCCTGATTTTATCAGGTGGCACATCAGCAGAGGATATCTCCCACAGAGATAAGGATCACCACCCCTCCCACATTTTAACAGATGGTGATAGAATACACATTTTTGCACTGTACTCCAGGACAAGTAGTTTAGTCAATATTTCTAGTTAACATCAGTGAACAGTGACTAGAGTCTCTTGACCTGCTTTTTATTTCGTTTTTATTTTGTGTTATAAATTGAGTCCCATAATATCAGTGTGGGACTTTGGCAGTTCATCTACTAGCCTGCCTCATGGGGAAGCGTAATAACATGCTGTGTTTTTCAGCCTTTTTTGTCTGTATGTTTTGTGATTGTGAAGGGGAGAGGAACACAAATTTTCTAGTGAGGGCTTAGGTCTCTTCAGTATAGGAGTCCACATTTTGTTTCAGGCATAAATTCATAAAACTCCCGTAGTAGTTTTCCAGTTTCTTTCGTATCTTTATCCCAAACAAAATAAGCATCTTGTTATATGTCTTGCTGGTAGGCACAGTAAGATGGGGAGGAGAAGGCATCTTGTTTTAGTATAGTCTTTGTGCTGCACATAAGTATTGCAGAGTTGGTTTCTCAGTGTCCCTCCAGAGTATGGTTAGTACCAGTAAAATGTTACATTGCTTGACAGAATTTATGTCAGTACTTGATCTACTTTACTTATGTATACTATTTAAAGATTGAAGGTGGTCTTTAATAGTTTTTATTTTTATATACAATTCCCACTCTATCACTCTTGATAGTGATAGAGTAGAAAAAAGTTTCTGTTACTAAATTAGTTTATCTTTAAATCATATTTATTGCTGAAGGTGGTGAGGAGTAATCAGCATGGATTTAAGTCATTGACTTGGGAGAGAAAGGGAGAGAGTTTATCAAAACTTTAGTAAAGCTTTAGGTACTGTCTTCCATAGTCTTCTTA